ATATTTTTATATATTTAATTTTTATATATATTGAACTATATATTTTATATATTTATTATTCATTCATTAATTAATGCCATTTTGGATTTTTTTTTTTCCATTGAGCTTGTCACAATTTTTTATGGAATTGCCTTCTTTGTGAAAAATACATTAGTTGCTGCCATAATAATGCTGCATACCATATGGAATAATAGCCTTTGTGCCTGGAGCGCGTCTACGATGCCTTAAAATTCTGCTTATGTAGTCAGCTCACTGGGTTTTGGTTTAGAGCCACGATGACCTCACGAGAGGTCAAGACTAAGGAAATAATCAAGCAGAAATTCGTGATTACGAGACTTTGACTGTCTGTAAATCACTGCTGACTTTAAAAAGCTGTTAGACCCCTGACACAAGCCCGCCGGGGATTATAATACATCCACACCTGTCTCTCTCTCTCTCTCTCTCTCTCTCTCTCTCTCTCTCTCTCTCTCTCTCTCTCTCTCCCTCTCTCCTCCTTTCCACCCACTCAAGGCAGGTCTAGAGGTCACAAGAGGGAGAAGTAAGTAGAGCGACAGCAGGCAGAAGAGAAAAAAGTGAGAGGAAGAAAGTAAAGGACGGAGAGAGTACAAATAACAGGAGAGTGAGGTAGAGGGTAAAGGCTACAGGAGTGATGACTCAATTTGAATGTGTTAAACGGGGTGAGACAGGTGGTCAGGGAATAGGTAAAGGGGTGATTGAGGTAAAAGGGGGAATGGGGGTAGAAACGAGACAGAGAGATGGGGGAGGATGCTTGTGGGGACTGTGGGGGACTTCAGAGACAGATGCTGTGGAGAGTGAGACTCAGAGGAGAGGCCAGGGGAGAACTGTATTTTTAGACTCTCCCTGAGGGGTCTAAGCCTAGAGTTCCGCCCCCTTCACGCTTTTCCTGTGAGACCGACTCTTTGCCATCACTTTTTTCCTTCCGCACCGATGCGGGGGTCTTTACTATGCCCTCTACTTGCAGTTTTTCCCTTGTATTCACGTGACGCAATATCTATATTCAAGTTGCAAGCAATGGCACGGCAATTCAAGATCGTTCCCATTATAATTACTGAAAATGTCCAACCAGGTGCAACGTGGCAAAGTCATCAGCAATAAACAATACATCGCACACAAAGACATTTTTGGGACACTGACACTTAAAGGTTTAAGTTCAGTTTGACTAAAACAATATTCTGTCTTTGTAAAATGTAACAAACTGACTGTCAAAATTTTGTGAAATGTAATTTAATTTAATTAATTAAATAATAATAATAATCCATTCAAAAAGCTTTTTCACACATATGAATAAATAACATACAGAGATTTATGAAGGGCTAAACAGGAAATATTATATAAAATCTGAATATAGCCTATTGTTTTAAGTCTGAATATATAGATCTTGATATACATATCTTACAAATCTTGAAATATAAATGTTTTCATATTTTGTATTTTATATTCAGACTGTTTATATATATATATATATATATATATATACACTCACACACATACATAGATGTATAGATATTCAGATTTACTTCTATACATATATCCATGATTTATATTCCTCAGTTTTGTATTTATACATTCAGATCTTTATCTATATATTTTAACTTACATTTGTCTATATATTCCAATTTACATGTATATATTCAGAATTATATATATTTAGGATATTTTATAATTTCCTATTATATATATATATAAAATCATTGCTGTCGCATGTTGAAAATAATATAACTGCCTATATAAATAAATAACTGCCGGTGCTTTGTTGATGCAAATGCGTAGTGTAAACGGTTGCTGTTGATATATCTCCTGCTCTCGTTTTAAATGAATGACTTTCGGTCGATTTGCGCTGAAGATCACTTCAACAATAAAGAAAAAATGATACACACACAGACACACACACACACACACACACACACACACACTGACTCTCACACACATACACACACACACACACTGACTCTCACACACACACACACTGACTCACACACAATGACCCACACGTAAATCATAATTTATCCACTTTAGCATTAATTAAATTAACATGTATGTGCAATATTATGTGAGGTGACGACACAAACAACACCTGCGCAACATCTGCCATCCCAAGCTGACAGTCAGGTACAGGTGCGTTAATATGTTTGAATCATCTGAGCTCGTATTTGTTTTCTGTTTCCAAAGAAGTTTGGTTGTAGTTGATGTGTAGGTCTGAAGACATGGCAAAGAGCAGCGCAAAGTTCCTTGTTTTTAAAAACATTAGCCGCAGCTAACAAAGGAAAGTGTTGCTGTGATTGGTGTGTCCTGTAGGAGGCGCTCGCAGGCCTTGCGTGCTGCATGTTGCCTGTGCTAATGACATTAGTCCACTAGATGGCGCTTGCTGTCTATTTACATTGACAACAACGTGAATGTCCCTTTCTAATTGTAAGGTTTTTATAAATCACATTTTAAACTAAATAATATATAATATAATATATTATATATGAAATAATTTTTATA